ATTCCTGTTGTTTCTGCTTTAACCTAGAATGAGAATATCTGCCTAGGTTAATAGAGTATCCTTGATTGAAGGTAGGGAGTTGGTGACTTTAGTCGAGGATCCAACTCACTATTCTGTACCGGATTTACTCCGGTAGTGGAGGTTTTGTTCTTAGGGCCTCAATCTGTCGACTCCGGTGGAGGTTAGTCGCCCGCTAGAGAGTCAGATTGAGAGGGTCTGAAGACCTTTAGTCGAGACTTCAGGCTGTTTAAGAACCTTCCGCAGTATAACTGTCATAGAAACTGAACTTGGTAATTACAATCCGGCTTAACTGCAGTCTAGGGGGAACCATATCCGGGTGACCTCTCTTAACTTGAATACAACCGTTTACCTGCTTTGCTTTGTTTGTTTGGTAGTTTAGACTTGCATTCCAGTTTCATTGCTAGATAACATGAATTCACTGAGTATTCATCATATCTAGGACCCGGGTTGATAATTAAACCCAAACCCGCTATACTACGCTTTAGGAAGTGGTTACACTTGGCCAATTCCTAGGGTGACAGTAGAGTCGAGTCAAGTTTTTGGCGCCGTTGCCGGGGACGGCTAGGTTATTGAAGAAAAGTGATTTCTGTTAATTTAGCTTTTCTTTTTGCTTTGTTTGCTTTGTCCCACTTGTGCCTTCACGGGTTTGCTTGCTTGAGTGTGTGCAGGTAGTGCATGACCCGTAGCCAGTCAGGAGGTTTACTGCCGTTGAATCCAGAGATTAACCGCACCTGTCGCCAGCTCAGGAGACAACAGCGAGCTAGACTGGCTACGGAAGAGCGCATAGACGGCCACCTGAGTAGCGATTCTGAAGAAGAGCACGGGATGGACGGAGACTACAACCAACACCAGGGGAATCCACAGCAGGTTCCCCCGGTGAATCAGGTCCTGGGGAACAACCCCATACCCCAGGACCATGGAGTTCATCATCCCCCGCAGCCGGGCCCCACCTTGGAATACTACTACACTCCGCGGATTGCTGACATCCGCCCGGTCATCCTCTACCCGCCTATTCCAGCAAACAATTTCGAGATCAAGCCATGCTGGATTCAGCTCATTACATTATCTATCCAGTTCCATGGCTTGAAGAATGAGGAGGCCAGGGTGCATCTTTCCCGTTTTCTGCAGCTGACGAACGGGTTCAAGCTGAATGGTGTCCCCGATGATGCGATCCGCCTTCATCTCTTCCCCCATTCTCTGGCGGGGAATGCTAAGAGGTGGTTGGAGACCCAGCCCCCATTGTCCATCACCTCTTGGGACGATCTGGCGGACAAGTTCGTGCACAGGTATTATCCGGCATCGAAGACTATAGAGATTCAGCGGGAGATCACTCACTTCCGCCAGGAGCCAGATGAGTCACTTCGTGATGCTTGGGAGCGGTACATGGGCTATTTCTGGCAGTGCCCCCATCATGGCTTCAGTGATGCTTTCACTGTTGGGAACTTCTACAGTGCCCTTTCGCCAGATAGCCAGAGGGTGATTGAGTCTCTATGCCCAGGAGGGGATATTCTTACCAAGACTCCACCCGAGCTGAACCAGATGATCAGTACTTTGGCTGCCAGAGATCATTCTTGGGGACAGGGTAGCCGAGGCAGACAGTTCCGGGACCGTGGTGTGCACGCCATGGAGACCAGATCCGGGCTCGAGCAGCAGGTAGCTGAGCTAGTGCAGACATTGAAGCAGCCCAACAGTCTGATTCCGGGCAGAGGTTTGGCTACACCTCCAGTAGCTCAATGTCAGTGGTGTGAGAGCTCCAATCACCTAGTGGAGGACTGCCAGGCTATGAGGGAGTCTACCACACCCCAGGAGCAGTTGGCCTTCATCGCCAATGCAAGGCGCCTCGATCCATACAGCAGCACATATAATGAGGGGTGGCGCCAGCATCCCAATTTCGCCTGGAGCAGCAACACCACTAAACCACCTGGTTTCCCAGCACCAGCAGGTGGTTTTCAGCAGAGGCAGCCCTTCCAGGCTCGCCAGGGGCCAGACCCACAGCAGCAGCCCAACCAGCCTAGGCAGGGCCAGTCATTCCAGCAGCCCCAGCGCCAGTTTGCCGAGCCAGCAGCAGCTCCGGCCCCAGATGACAGGATGACGAAGCTGGAAAACATTCTAGCTTCATTCATGACTAGCACCCAGGCTGCTATCACATCCCTGGAGGCAGGTCAGCGGAACCAGGGTGCCATTTTGCAGGATCTGCAGACCCAGGTGGGCATCTTGGCCCGCCAGAGCACCACCAGGGCACCGGGTACTCTACTTGCCACCACTGTTCCTAATCCTCGAGATCCTCACCAGCATCAGCAGCTGGATGCCATTTTTACCAGGAGCGGTAAGACCATATCTGCTGATCCTGTCCTGGCCAGACAGGAGGAACCACTGCCTGCTCCAGCGCTTCCAGCCGACGATGCAGAAGTGCGGGTGGAGAAGGAAGCCCCTGCTCCCAAGCCACAACCAGTGGTTAAGGAGCATGTACCCCAGCTTCCCTTCCCCACTCGCCTACACAAGGACAAGCTGGAGACTGAGTTTGCCAAGTTCATGGCAATGTTGAAGCAGCTCAACATCAGCATACCGTTCATGGAGGCACTGTCGAAAATGCCCAAGTATGCCAAGTTCATGAAAGATATCTGCACCAACAAGAAGAAACTTGGGGATCTTTCGACAGTGATGCTGAGCGAGGAGTGTTCTGCTATCCTGCAGAACAAGCTGCCCGAGAAGCGCAAGGATCCAGGGAGTTTTACTATCCCTCTTACTATTGGCAGCATGCATGTAGGCAAGTCCTTGGCGGACCTAGGCGCTAGCATTAACGTCATGCCATATAAGTTATATAAAATGCTAGACCTAGGTGAACTTAGCCCTACTAGGATGAGCATTCAATTAGCTGATCGTTCTATCGTGCATCCTAAGGGTATCATTGAGGATCTGCTTGTTAAAGTAGGTAAATTCACATATCCTGTTGATTTTTTTATTCTTGATGTGCATGAGGATGTGGATGTGCCTTTGATTCTAGGTAGGCCATTTCTTGCCACCGCCAAGGCACTTATTGATGTGCATGATGGAAAATTGATCTTGCGTGCTGGGAATGAACAGGCAACTTTTTCTGTGACTGAGTTTGATCACTGTGCTATGATTGCCGTCACGCCTGTGAATGCCATTTCTGATCAGGTACACGAGTCTGTCATGTACCCTTCTGCACCTCCTATTTTGCAGGACCCCCCATCATTCCTTCGCCGCCACTCCATCCAGCCTCGCCTCCGAACAAAAAGCTCAAGGAGGAGTGGCGGCCGAAGCCGCAGGTTGCTAAGCCTGCACGAAAGAAGAGTGGAGACCACTATGAGCTGGTCCCACCTCCTGCACCACGACCACCCTGGCCGTCCGGGTATTCACTCGCCTGCATCTTGCCAGATGGGCAGGTCGAGCTGACTGATGATGGTGGTCGCATCCGTCGGGTGCAGGGCCACAACCTGAAGTTGTACCTCAAGAGCGACGTGGATCCGCTCTTGGAGGCACCTTTTCCTGCACCACCCTGACTATCCACCATGGGCGTCCAGCTAATACGACGGTAAAGAAGCGCTTATGGGGAGGCAACCCCACCTCGGTTTGATTTTCTTTCTTGTGTTTTGCGTCGGATTGTAACCTGGTTTGGGTTTGGTTTGTTTTCTTTTGGTTTGGATGATATTTTATTGGGCTGACCATTGAACCTAACATATTGTGTCTGAGCTCTTCTGTTTCCCTTTGACTGTGCGTGCCCCGACTGGCCCTTTTCCAGTCTCCTGCAGTCCGTGCATACCGGTAACATCGTTCCCTTATCCTTCCCTCTTCTCCATTGAGGGCAATGTCGATCTTAAGTGTGGGGGGATGTTTATCTTTTGACTGCATTAGATCTGTTTGTGTGCTTGGAGCCTAGTCCACTGTCCAAATTTTTAAATTTGAGGGCTCCAAGTACGTGTTTCCATGCAATTGCCTGCTCAGTATGCTTTGAATTGACAGTCTTTATAGTAATGTGCAACCTAGGGAGGTAGTGTATCACTATGGAGAATGTTGATGCATTTAAGAAGTCTCATTTCTTCTTCATATTGTGTTGGTTGATTGAGTGAATTAGTGATCTTAGGACCCTTGAATTGTGTGGTGTTGTGGATTCTCTGCTTGTCATGGACTCTTGTATCATGTTTTGAGTTTAACAGGTGCTCGAAAATGTGCTTCAAAATAACGTCTCCCGTGCGAATAGGGCGAAAGTGTGTAAGGGGAGACGGGAATCCGTTCCCAATTTCCACCTACTACCTCCAGCCCCCTTACATGTCTTTCCCCCGCACGAGGCTCGAGACATCCGCTCCTGGCATGGCCGGTAAGAGCAGGTTGGGACCCTTGAAAAGAAAAAAAAGAAAAGAAAAATAACAGAAAACAAGCAAAACAGGAAAAAAAAAGGGGTTCCAACCATCTTCAAAGAAAATCGAGCACCTTGAAAAATGTGAGTCCATGATCTTTTTTTTGAGAATCTCTTCATCCACAATTCATTTGTCCTCTGTTCACTGTTTGCCATGATGCCGACTCGCCGAAGAAGCTATGAGATGACTTGTGCGTCGGTTGACCTCGTAAGCTGCTAAATGACCTAGGAAGTCCTCTACTTACGATCTGGGTTGTTTGTTGCTATGGAGGTCTGGAGAGTTGCATTGGTTTGAGTTAGGTTTGCTTGGGGACAAGCAAACGGTTAAGTGTGGGGGAGTTTGATAACGATGTAATTGCACATGTTTGCGCCCCTAGTTCTTATCCGTTTGAGGGGCATATTCGTGTGTTGTGGCCTATTTTACTCCGGGTTGTGCTATTTTGTCATGTTTCAAGTCCCAGGTGTCAAAGGGAAGGCTAAGCGCGAGTTTCGGGGCATTCGGAAGTCATTTCGCTGAGCTGGAGCCAAAACACGGGCACACTTAAATCATTACACGGCCGTGTTCTGGTGGCCGTGCTTTTTATGCCGAGAGCTGAGCTGATTACACGGGCAGGGCCAAAACAAAACACGGGCGTGTTCTGCCAAAGCACGGGCGTGTTCCACCAAAGCACGGCCGTGTTTCTCCCAATGCACTGGCCGTGTAATTAACACTAGCCAAAGCACGGGCGGGCTGAGGCATTACACGGCCGTGCCCTCGACCGTGCTTTGGCTGATGCCTTTTTAAGCAGATTTTCAGCCAAACAGAAGGGGATTCGAGTTTTTGAGAGAAAGAACGACTTCTAGAGAGAGAAAGTGACGAGCAAGAGTTCCCAAGTGCCCTAGATTGATCTTCAACACCATTGGAGGCCAGCTTGAGCTTGGAGAAGTGCCAATCAACGTCCAGAAGCAGGAATCCATCCTTTGCAGTATGAATTCCGTGTCTGAATCTGCTTTTGCTTTCTTCTCCATGGAGTAGTTCTCCCATTCATCTGGGTATGGAGAACCCTAGATTTGTATGTTAGGCTTTGATTGTATGAACCCAAGTACTGATTCTGTGATTGATTATATTCGATTGAGGTTTTAATGATTGAATGACTTGAATCCTGATCAAATTCCTGTTGTTTCTGCTTTAACCTAGAATGAGAATATCTGCCTAGGTTAATAGAGTATCCTTGATTGAAGGTAGGGAGTTGGTGACTTTAGTCGAGGAGCCAACTCACTATTATGTACCGGATTTACTCCGGTGGTGGAGGTTTTGTTCTTAGGGCCTCAATCTGTCGACTCCGGTGGAGGTTAGTCGCCCGCTAGAGAGTCAGATTGAGAGGGTCTGAAGACCTTTAGTCGAGACTTCAGGCTGTTTAAGAACCTTCCGCAGTATAACTGTCATAGAAACTGAACTTGGTAATTACAATCCGGCTTAACTGCAGTCTAGGGGGAACCATATCCGGGTGACCTCTCTTAACTTGAATACAACCGTTTACCTGCTTTGCTTTGTTTGTTTGGTAGTTTAGACTTGCATTCCAGTTTCATTGCTAGATAACACGAATTCACTGAGTAGTCATCATATCTAGGACCCGGGTTGATAATTAAACCCAAACCCGCTATACTACGCTTTAGGAAGCGGTTACACTTGGCCAATTCCTAGGGTGACAGTAGAGTCGAGTCAGATGGTATTCATGTAATCCCTGCTCGAGAACGAAACCGAGTTGTCCCTGGAGAAATTCGCTTGGCTTTTACAGGAGGAAAAATACTAGCATGCATTCCTGAAAATAGCAATAATCCAAAGTTTCCTCTCAACAATTTCTTAAAAACACGGTTCTCAGATATCCCATTACAGTCACAAACTATTCTACATTATTCAGGTAATAATGTCTATATATTTCTTTGTTCATGTGATGATTGTAATTCATAACCTAACTATCAATTAAATTCCAGATGTAACAGGATGTGTTTTTCACCTTACTATCCCAGAATGTATCGCCGGCGGACTTACTCAATTTGAACTTGTGATGGAAGATTTTAGGTATCTACATTACTGAATTTTGCAAGGACTTTCACCGTTCAGATGTAATGTTAAGCGTTTTTTATGTTCTTTTGTGCAGTGGAAAACGGGCAACAGTTTACTATTCCGGACCAGAACTTATCAAATATCTCGATCTTGCTGTAGACTCGGAATCTCAACTTCCACTTATTACTACTGTTACTGCAGTTAGTATGTTATCAACTATAAATGGAGATGACAATGAATATAAATTTCAATCTTCAACGGGCAGTCAACTTATCATTGGTTCTTATAATCGCCACTATGAAAAACTTATGAACATGTTTTAATATATGGAGAGAAAAAATAATATTTACCGATTCTGATAGTTTTCCGTTTTCTATAAACAAGCAATACTAACATTCCTTTCTTCTATTTCAGATTCATAGATGATCGAAAACCAGTAACCTATATCAATAAAGTATCACGTAAATCTATTGGTTACCTTCGTGGCTTACTTCCACCCAAAAGATCACTTCAAGAACTAAAAGAAATTATTATGTTCCATACACAACATTTTGAGGTATATATAAAATATTATAGATTTCTTTCCTAACTAAATTTACTTAAAAATTTGATCAATCGTCCAATATATATGTATCTTTTAGGTTCTTTATCGATGTAAGTTGAAGATGATAAGCTTCATCTATGGTTCCCAAGTTTACAAGTCAAGTTCAGAATATCCAAAGTATGTTTCTATTATGTCTTATTTGATTTTCCTTCTATCCATTGCACATACATGAACTGAAAGTGTTACCTTTATTTTATAAATCATATGGTTAGAAAGCCAGTCCAGAAGTCCAAGATCAGCTATGTAAGAAAAGGAGTAAGCATATTTCCAAGTCGAATCTCCTGTCTTAGGAATAGTGTTCATAGGAATGCAGTATGAATTGCATGCAACATGTGAAAATGAAGGCATTGCTGTTGATGTGGTTTTTTTTATCATGAAGCGACTTTGGGGCTGGTCTGTATGTCCCCTGAAGAACTTTTTAAGCTTGGTTATGAAGAGGCATATGATCGTATTTATAGTAGATGAAACATAACATTTGCAGCAAAGCTTTTTATTGTATCTGCGAATTCGGAAAGTCCACCTTGTATTCGAATTGTTACAATTTGGGATCCTGATAGTTTTAACTAATAAAAAATTGGCAAAATGCAGCTGTATATCCACAACTATCAGGGTTGTGACAAATATATTCATAACTATCGAAATACACGAAATATCCATTTCCATCCAGTCCGTTAACTCCGTCAGTTAACTTGATGACTGGACAGACGGTGGATTCTTAGTTGGCGTGCTTCTGGCCCCACTAAATGACGTGGACCTACCAGATTATGTACAATTGTGTACATTATGTAATCGTATTATCTACATCCTTTTCCTCTTTTCTCGGACTATGACTCAAACACTTTAAATATATTATTATTATTATTATTATTATTATTACTACTATGTAGATTGTCATTTTGATCATCAATGTATGCAGTACATCATATATAGACAGCATACAGTTTAGATTGAGGGACTAAAGTATAGACCAGAGACCACACCACATGTCGGTTGTAATAATTGTCAGTTTCACTAGCATATAAGTTAATGTATCCGGATTATATAATGTAATAGATGTTGATTTTTTTTACCTTAATAGGAAAAATATGTTGTGTTATGCATATGCCATTGAAACTAACACTCGCATATAATACTGTTTGCCTTATGATTCTTATCACTACATATGCATAGTCAACCATTTTTCTTAATCCCTCGACGTTTTTTAATATAGAGTTGATTGAAGACATATTTCTTTGGTTTGTATTAGTAATTTCTCATTCCTAACTTCACAAATGTAAGTTGACGAAGAACACAAGGTTCAGCGACCTGTGTTGCGATACTCATTTGATTAGTTGATTGATTTTGTCTTATTAACATTCTTTTCGTCCTTTTCACATAGCTGATAAGGAGTGAGTGGTAATATAATGAAAGCGAGTATGTCATTATATTACCAGAAAGGTCTATATTCTATTGATTTCTTCTTCTTCGTTAATCATCGTCATCATGATTATTGATCCTCATTTTGCATATCGAAATATATATCGTCCGCTAGCTATGTAGCCATAGCACAGTCACAGTATTCTTACGGGAAACGAACCAGAAAGATATATACCCACCACCTTATTCTCATTCCGCATTTTGCTTATGTATAACCCTTGTGTCCTTTAGACATTCATCGTGTTATCCACGCTTTTCAGCTTCATTGTGAAAATACTTGATCCATCTCATAGTATGGATCCCTAACCATATTTTGTTTGTATGTATAACGTAAGGTTATATGCGAATGTACTATATTGTACAATGGGACCAATGCTTGGAGTGGATAAATGATTCACCTTTATTGTTGTTATTGATACATATTTAACAACATACTTTTGGTTTTATGTTTCTACCGAGGTGGTGCCTAGAGTAAACCAACTTTGTCGTGACTTATAAAATTGGTCTTCCCATTGTATCGGATAAGTTGGTCGTGATTGAAAGCATTAAAAAGTCTGTTTTCTGTACACAGACTTGTGTGTGATGCATTTGGAAACACCACCAACTCTAACACTTATCTTTTTTTTTTTTTTTTTGGAACCTGTGTGTATGTCCAACACTTATTAGTGACATTGTACAACCCTTGTATAAAATACTGGGTCAATGGAAAGAAATAGATAGCAACTTGAGGTACAATATTTTTTGTTACAACCAATACAAATTCGGACTCACTCCTGTCGGTTGAAATTGCCACATTCTTGTCCATGAATTATGGACTTCGTACCCGAATTCTATGTGTTAATATTGTGAGAGCGATTATACCTCATCTTCCTTCCAAAATCCTTCTTCATACTTATGCCACCTCATGATCCCTTCGTCATCTTTCGTTCATTGGCATGTGACACACGACTCCTCCATACAAGTTAGAAACTGGTTTAGTCTCGATGCTTTACGATGTATGGTGTCGTCTAATTTTTCCATGACTCATCTAGCCTCAGGCGGTGGTGGTCTTTCTATCAGTAAACAGTGACAGATGTTTAGCACTTGTAGACTCTGAAGACGGTCTAGTATTTTGATTAGGGCATCCTTAAGTAGTAGTGAGCAGTGAAAACTTAGAACTTTTAGTTTAGGGAGATGCGTTACTAGTGCTGTAGCGAATAAAGTGTCAAAAGGTCCCATTATTTTGAGCTCGCTGAAGTTTGTGTAGTTATTGGCGATTTCCTTGATGAGATACGGAGGATTATCTATACTAGGCATTGTGAGTGATTCAAGTTCTTTCCATGAACGTATTGCATCGCATATGCTTGTCCATTTTATTCGGTTCCACGCTGGGAATACAAGTTTCTAAGATGTGGACACCTGAATAGAAAATAAGTAATCAATAAAGGAATTTTTTTTGTCAAGTACCTGTACCATAATAAATAAATAGTACATGAATTTACTGGCAATATAGTTTTATGAATGACAACAAATTATGATTGATGTACCTTGGTCTTATTAGCTTTATTAATTGGAGAAAATAGAAGAGGTGGAAGAGATAAATCCATGTGTTATGGCATGTTAAATCACATAATTAAGCATAAATTTAGAGTTTCAGCAAACGTAATCATAGTTTACCTTTCAGCAATGTAGGTCAACTGCTCATCGGTGATGTATAAATTGAGATGGAATATCACCGAAATTATGCTTCCTTTGCTGAGATTCAAAGCTATTTTTAATAAACGTGTCAGAGTTTTATCTGAACTACTGTGCATGTACACATATGACTCTATAGGAGTCTTTATGAAGTTGGACTTCTTTGTCGAGAGATCCAGTGTTCTCCATAGAAGAGGACTAGCACATGTCATGCGCCATGAACTGCAAACTTGACCAATCCCTGACGTCAACTCAAGTGTGTCGAGAGTGTTGAATGTCTTCA